GGGGGGGGGGGGGGGGGGGGGGGGGGGGGGGGGGGGGGGGGGGGGGGGGGGGGGGGGGGGGGGGGGGGGGGGGGGGGGGGGGGGGGGGGGGGGGGGGGGGGGGGGGGGGGGGGGGGGGGGGGGGGGAGGGGACCAATTCCTAGCACTTGGGAAATGGAGTTCCACAAGTGTTAGCAACTTTCCTGGCATTGGGAGAGGCCACAAACTTCCTTAAGGTGGGGTTCTGCATGTACTTGCAGAGGCAGGGCTTCTGTTCCTTAATCTTTGAGCAGCAGAGCTTAGATGGCGGAACTGAAGATGTGATTGCACTCACACAGGAGCTCAGTTGCAGTGGACTGCATGTCACTGCCACTGAGACCTCCGCCATCATAAACATCACCAATATGCTCACTGCTATCTGTGATGCCTTCATTTTCCCTCTCAGAATACTCTTGAACTTTAGGTACTGTGATAGAGAGAGAGAGATGTGGAATGTTGGATGAAAATGGGTTCATTTGCTTCTCAATTTATAGCCTGAAAGCAAGAGATCATGATCATCATGGTCATCATGGTCACTTGGCATGAACAGAAAATTTCCTCAAATTTTGGCTACCAATTATCAAAGACCTCCGGTGCTACCCATTGGGCTTCTTAATGATAGCAGCAAATTTCCAAGGGGCAGAAGCTCCCTGCCTCCCTCCTCTCACATTTCTACCACAAGTACAGAGGAAGATGAATGAACGGCCATCCCCTCATCATTATCAAACAATCTTTTTCTCTCTGTTTCTGTTTTGATTATTCTTTCTTCCTCCTTGTGTTTTTTTCCCTTTAGATCATTGCCATGAATGAAGCTATGGAGCCCAGTTGTTGTAATGGGAGTGTGGTTTCTTTCGGTGAGGTTGATGGGAGTCATTGTTACATCCTCCATCCATATGAACAGTTCTTCTCATTGAGCAGCCACATGGAATATCATCATTCAATACACCTCCTTTCTTTCTAAATTCAACAAAATCCATCAATCAAACACTCTTTCTTCTTTGTTTTTTTCCCTAAAACTACTTTTTCTTTAAAATTTTCAACTTTCCTATTAATCGAACACAACTTTATTATACTCGAACGCACTAGAATTCAAGTTGTTCCTCAATTAGTTTAAGTATATATACTCGTTCAAATGGTCAAAGTTTTAAATCTAAAAAAAAAAATCAATTTATCAAATGAGAGTTTTGGGATGTTCTTTATCTTATAGGTTTGTATAGTATGGATTATTAAATGGGGCCTTTAAGATCATGATAGATAGCCAACTTTAGATGTGCATGCTCACTTGATTAACAATCATCATACGGCTCACAATCATGAGCTCACTATCACTAAGCATGCTCCCAATTCTCCACTATATTTTCCTTCTTTCCCTTTTCTCCATTTCTACATTATTGTAAACATAGCTATATAAATATTAATTTCATTTCCAAAAACTTAATCCACTTTTGGGCTTAGTATGTGGGCCAACTTCTCAGCCCATTTCTGTCTAGCCCATTTCTGTCTAGCCCACTGGGCTTCATTTTTTTCTTTTGATGGTCACAATGAGTTAGAAATTTGCAGACGCTTACTTTAGCAAATTGAATTGTAAAATTGAACTGCGACAATTAAATTATATTATTTATTTTCTATAACCCCAAAAACTTTAGCTACTTAGAAAAATATTTAATTTAATTATAATTTTGTGCGCTAAGTATAATAAAATTTGACCATAAGATCAAAGGTTTAAATCTCTCTACTCGTGTGATGAACTCCACAAGCAAGAAAAAACGTGAATTTCAAATAATAACTCAGTCATCCAAAATAGAATCGAATTTAATATCTTATTTAATATTAATTTAATGATCTACAATATTAAAATACTCTACTTACTCTCGAAACTAAAAAGAATTCCATTTATAAATTAAAAAAGATATGATTTAGGGAGCAAAATCTTATAATGTTCTTACGTGGGTAGATGTGATTCCCTCTTTTTATTTTATTTTATTTTTTTAAAATAAAAATAGATAAATTTCATCTGCCCATCAGAAATTCCCCACTAACCCAAATTATTGAGGTTTAAATAATTAATTGAAGTCCCCATTAAGTAGTGTTGATGCCACCCAAATCCAAATCCAAATCCAAATGCTTTATTATTTATTATTTCATACCAATATTTTAGTGCAATTATTGAAACATTATCAACCCTTCCCCATTTGCTTTGCTTCTTTCATTCTAAACATACGACCAATGTATATTACTTTATTTTATTCTCTTGAACCAAAAATATTTTTAAAAATTTAAACTTTTCATCGAATATTACTTAAATATTCAACTTGGACACTCCTCGCGAGAATACAATAGTTGACTAAGTAGGAACCGTATGTAATAGCTCAAGCCCACCACTAAAAAATGTTGTTTGTTTTTGTTCGTTACGTATTACCGTCAATCTCATGTTTTAAAACTCTACTAGAGAGGGGTTTTCACACCTTCATAAGAAATGTTTCGTTCTCCTCTCTAATCGATATGGGATCTCACAATTCACATCCCTTGAGAGCTCAACGTCCTCGCTGACACACTGCATGGAGCCTGATTCTGATATCATTTGAAACAATTGAAGCTCACCACTAGCAGATATTGTCCGTTTTAGCCCATTACGCTTTCAATCTGACGGTTTTAAGACGCGTCTTCAAGAGAGAAGTTTTCACGCCCTTGAATATTTCGTTCTCCTCTCCATCCAAAAGAATTTAAAAGAGGTAAAGAAAAAAAAAAGTGGAAGTAAGAATAATTATTGTTTGGAATAATATAATGGGTGGTGCTTTATTTGTATGGTGGTATTGGTTTGACAAAGAAGAGTGGGAGAACAATGGAAACAAACACCTAACCATGAAGCATCCACTACGACTCTCATTTACACTCCAAATTCTGACACCTTTGCCTCCCAAATTACGAATTCAAATCCAATAATTAATGGCCCCTTTACCCACACAAAAAGAGTGCACAAATGTCGAGCTTTCAACGCTATAAAAGCAGAGCCCAATGTGGAGGAGAATGAAAAAGAACTCAATTGGGTCTCTTCTTTCGCTCAAACCCATCACAAAACACACTCAGTTTGGCTCTAATGGCGAGGCTAATGAGAGAATTTGGCAGTCAAAATGGCAGCTTTGGCCTCGCCGGTGACATTTATTTGCTGTTTTGGGCGGCTCTGTTTACACTCTGTATAATCTCCACCATAATTTTCTCTTGCTCCGACGGCATGTCAACAAAAGACAGGAATTCCACGGCCGACGTTGAGCTTTACGGTGCCGGTTGCGCAGCCGGCTGCGGCGCTGGATGTGGTGCTTGAAAATTAGAGACCCCTTCTTGTTTGTATGATTTTTTTTTATTATTATTAGATGAATTTCAGAGGCAATGAATTATGTCTCGGATTTTCAAAGCCATGAGAGAGAGAAACAGAGAGAAAGAGACACCATTTTTGTAACATTTAATTGTGATTTAGATGCAGAGTTTAGTGCTTCTAATTTGTTTTTATATTTTTTATTACCAAAATTTAGACGTCCAATATTAATTAATTATTCTTGTGTTCTTGTTCATTTGGCAAGAAATAATATTAATTAATTTTAGAGGCAATGGAAGGATTGGGTTGCGTCCCATTTGTTAAAAGAGAAATGAGGATGATTAAAAAATTTATTAATTGATATATTTAATGTTATTAAGTCAAACAAAAAAGTCAAGATGGCCGAGTTGGTCTAAGGCGCCAGTTTCAGGTACTGGTCCGAAAGGGCATGGGTTCGAATCCCATTCTTGACAAATTGTTTTTGCCTTTTTGTGTAGAATGTGACAGACGATGGTATCCCTTGATAATTTGAACACAAAAAGAAATATTAAAATTACCGATTTTTTCTGTATAACACATTTAGTCTCTAATTTTATTGATCTGTTACTGCAAAATGTATCAAATTAATCTTAATATTTACGAAGTCATCTACAGTCAAGATGGCCGAGTTGGTCTAAGGCGCCAGTTTCAGGTACTGGTCCGAAAGGGCATGGGTTCGAATCCCATTCTTGACAAGAAGAATGTTTTGTTTTATTTGGTAAAAAATAATGTTATGAAGCTGAAGTACATGGGTTCGAATCCCATTCTTGACAAGAAGAATGTTTTGTTTTATTTTGGTAAAAAATAATGTTATGAAGCTGAAGTGAATAGTAATTAGTATGCACTTCTTCTCTTCCCTTGAGGTTAGAAGTTCAATCTCAATCTCACATCCACACAATTGTACAACAATACACTATTGCAAATTTTTGGCATTAAAAGACAAAGCATACAATTCCCCATGGAACAAAGTTCTCCAAGTTAGGAGTTGAGGTTCCCATAGACCAACCTGAATAAGCTATCAAGATTTGACCATTTCCACCCGAAAATGTATGATCTAACATTAACTTATACTCTTCTATCTTCTTCCTCACTGGAATCCTCCTTCATTTCTTCATCACTTTCATTCAACTCACCACTTAAATCTGAATCATATTCTTCATCTTTAAAATCTTCAACTTCTCCAGGCACTCGCTGCCGAATTTCCTTCATCAGCTCATCATCAGCATCTCCGTGCTTACCTGATAGCTTCCTCTTCAAAATTGCTTCAAAAATTGTTGGTAAGGACTCGACGTCACCCTCATAAAATCTATCAATTTTCCTCTTCAGCTCTGTAATCACAAAAAACTTACTGTCTAAGATCGAACCTGAATGTATCTATTGCTTTCATTGCCTTCTAAAAAGAAAATCATGCTACAAAAAAAATGAACAGAGTTGCAAATGAACTTCATGTCAATATGAGCAATCCAGAAATATCAAGCTCTTTACACAACTTTGGGGGTCAATCAAGGCTCCCTTAATCATGAAATGGTTAAAATACTTCACTAATCGCTTTCTCTCGCTGATATTTATACTCTTCTTTCACTTAATTGTTTTGTAGTAGTAATTATTTTCACATCATTCTCAAAATATTGATTATCAAAACTTATCTCTAATTTGATTAAGAGCACTTTCAACATACACTAGAACCAACAAAACAAAATGAAATTTTATTGCACTTGTTGTTAAGTAGTTTCTTTAACAACGATTCTGAACACATCTTATCTAAAATTTCCAGTATTAAACAACTTACACATAAGAGGAGGATATCATTCAAAATTTCATAGGTAACCATTGCGTTATACTAATACTTACTCAAGAACTCAAACCATTAAACCGCAGAAAGCAAATATAAAGATAATACGATAGAAGATGATTCATGCTTAGAAATACGAGAATATAATTAAATCTATTTGAAAAATCTTTTCCTAGAAAGAAAACACAGAGAACTTTGACAAACAACATTCAACTATATTTTACCTTCGTTACTGACATCATCGTCGACGAGAGAATCCTTGTTTTCAATCGTTGTTGAGTTCAATCCATTATACTTGTCATTCCCGGACGAGTAACATCGCGATTGGGACGAAATCGAAACGGAAAATGAAGGTAGTAATGGACCAGAGCGCAAGGTTTGAAGCAGAGGAGAGATGGAAACCCTCCGAGAACAGGCAGTGAAGACAGCTCCCCATATAGCTCGTTTCATGGCGTTTCTTCGCAGTTCTAGGGTTTATCCCCATTTTCTTGAGGTTTATGACCGGAGAAACAAACACGCAAGGACTAAATAAAATAATCGTACCAATGAAGTGGGCTGCTGTTTAGTGGGCCTAGGCCCAACCAGATGAAATTGGGCCATTCTAATATAATATTCTAATTACAAGCTTTGGTTTCATAATAATTTCTTTAAAATATAATGTTCTAGAAGGCCTAAAATAATCACCTTCATCTAATTAATTAATTAATATTAAAAAAGAAAAAGTGGGTTGAGTCAAAATAACATTAAAAAATTAATGAGGATTATTCTGTTATGTGCATTCCGACATGAATAAAAGGCTAAAAATGGCTTCGAGTCCACAAAACAATTCAATTTGTTTAGGGCTTTTTTATATATATATTTTGTGTTTCTGAAAAGTCTTTAGCTTCCCGATGCAAACCCACTATTCTTACTTCTTTATAAATCAACCCCAACTTCCGGTACAATTCCTACTTATATGGAATTTTTAAAATAATCTATTTTTATTTTGGTCCCTTGACTTTTACAAATTTTAGATTTTGACCTTTAAAATATATTTTTTTGTTTACCTAAATTCTTAAATTTTTTAAAAATATAGAATAAAAGTTTGGGAAATTATAGAAATTGGTCACTTTTCTCTTGATTTTTATTTGTTTGCCCATTGTTTTCCTCTTTATTACATTTTCATAAATCTAAAGAGCGTCCAAAAAGTTTGAAAAAGGAAAAAAAACATAATCATCCATTTGGGGTGGGAGAAGAATGAAAATTACTTTTAAGAAAGGGACTAAAACGCAATGGAATAATTACATTTTGACCCTTTTTTTTATATTCAATTTGATGGAAATAATTTTGTAGGGACTTATTCATTCATGGTTAAATTAATAATAAAAAATTGAGTTTTTTTTTTTAATACTCATAAACTTTTCGAATAAAAAAAAATTAAAAAATATTTTTAACTTTTAAAGTATTTCAAAAATACCCTAGAAATTTTAAAATTTTAAATATTTTTATTAATTTAGTCCGTAAATAATATATTAAATCAAAATTATTCACATTCAACGAAAAAAGTCAAAAGGATCTCTAAACCGCCTTTTTCCCGTTGAAGAAAGTGCCGGTCCGGTCCGCTTCCGGTTTATGACACAACTTTCTATGTATGAAATTGTATCGTCATTTTAATTCTTCTCTCCCCCACCTTTCTAAATTTCATCACAAATTAATATATAAATATATCTTAAATAATTGGTTTAAATTTTGTAATTTATAAACATTTTTATAAGATTATGAAAACATTTCATGTGATTTTAAGAATTCATTTATTCAAAATCAATAGTATATAGTTGTGATGTCATATTTGATATAAAATAAAATGTCATCTTCTTATACCATTTTTAATTATTGGGGTGGTTGTTGCTCGTTGATTAAAAGCCAAGTTATAATTGTTATTAGTTTAAAAAATAATTAAAAAATTAAAGTTAGATCGATTTTATTCCTGTCATAATTAATTATTTAATTATTTTTAAAAATTTTAAAAACACAAAGTAGAAATTTCTGAATTAAATTTTATAAATTATTGTTCGACTTAAAATTCAATTTATTATAGGCTTTAAACTAAATATTACATTGTTTGGTTAATAAAATATATTAAATATATAATGTTTGAATTTGATGAATTAAGAAAGTTGATCAGATTTTTGTTTTTTTTACCCTTTTAATTCTTATAATAACAAGTAAGTCCTTATACGATGAAGTTCAATTATTGAATTATAAGTCCTTTTCAACCTTCAATATTTAATGGGGAAAATATAATTAAAAATTAATAGAAAAAATAAAGTTGTGTCCAAATTAATATAAAGGGAAATGAAAATAAATAATTGTAGCCTTCACGAAAGCCTCTTACTAGATTTCTATATCTAGACCCAATTGTGATATAAAAAGGTTTTAAATAATTAATAGAAAATTTATTATCAATTTACTTTTTAACTTTTTATTAATTAAATTACTTGCTTTAATAAATAATAAAATATTATTTAATACATAAATCTAATATAAGCATTAAAATATTAAAAATGTATAATAGATTTCCACATGATTTTTTCAAAATTTAATTATTTTATTAAATTTAAATTTAAATTTTAGGTGTAATATAACTCAATTTAATGATCTATCAGACACAAAATTTAACCAAACCGATAGTCACATCAAAATTAATTATAAATTATTTTATATAAATACTCGTAGATAATCGTCTTTTCCATCATTTAATGAAATTGAATTCAACTAAATAAATAATTAATTTTTGTTTAACTTAAATTTGAATTTTTGATTTCTAGATAAACCATATTGCAATACAAAAATTAGGGATTAACATTAATAATAATGGAGGTTATTCACAATTATTAAGTGGAATGATTAGGATATAGGATTTTATGAGTTTAAAGGTATAATTTGAAGTGGAAGAGTTGATTATGGGTACTTAATTAGGTTTATTTTTTTTGTTCTTAATTATGGATTATCATTGTAATATATACTGTTTGAAGCCATAATAATCATGTCCATTTGAGAAAATGGAAGAAAATGATATCCAATACACTTTTATATTCTTTATCAAATTTATCTCGATAATTTAAAAAAGATTTAAACTTTATTCTTATTTCAATTTATTAATTCCAATTGTCTCTTCTAAGATGGAAAAGCATATGTTTATATAGATATATATAAGAAAATACTGTTTAGAATGTAAGAACACAATGATTCAAGCATGTAGTACACTGTTTGGTCCCTTCACATATAAGACACATTTTGAGTCAAAACAAGACAATCTTCACATCATTTCTATTCTTCTTCCCCAAATAATCACAATCCCAATTTTTAAATTTTATATGTTGAAAATTGTTGGGTTAACCGAAGAGTCGAATTTGAACGCGGTCGATGGACAACACCATAAGCTCGAGAAAGGGTTGAAGACCGGAAGGTCGTGGCTCAAGAGGCCCCGATCGTTAAAGGGTCAACCAATCCAACAACGAACTTTCGTAGTATTAAAAGATTAAGAAAGACTTAAAAGAGTTGTCAGCAGCAAGCAAACAAAAAAAAAAAAATCAAATATTTTATTACCATTAATTAACAATACAACATATTTCTTCAAAAGTATGTGAATAAGGAATACATAATTAATGGAGTCAGCAAAAATGTGGGTAAGAGGAAGAAGAAGAAGAAGAAGAAGACGACATCACAACCGTCCATTTCCAGAAAAGATGAACAGAATCCCGAAATGAATATAGAATCCTTACAAATTTTGACCCTGTGACTTCTCTGGTGTTCCCCGCTTCAATCCATGGTGACCCATAGATCTGACTTTTTGCAGAGCCTACCAAATTTTCATGACCAAAATACCCTTTTCTTTATTATTATTATTTTCCTGAATGAATATTTGATTTGATAAGGAAGCATCAATTTGGCTTAGAACGCAAAAAAGTGGAAAACCCAACAAAAAAAAGAGAGGAAAAAAGTTGTTCACAGGTTCCTGAGCCTGTGAGACTGCTCTCTCTATGATGCCGCTTACCCACAAACTCTAACAACAAGACAAACAGAGCCCACCTAACAGCAGCACCACCACCACCACCTCTGGAAAGGAGGAGAAAAAAAGCGACTCAAATCGCTTCATAATCACTCATTTTCTTCCCCTTCTTCTTCTTCTTCTTCTTCCTCTGCGTTCAAATCTGGGAATGGAACAAAGAGATTCATTAACTAAAGTTCTTTAAAGTTTATGCTTTTCTCTCTTTCAACTCAATTCATTCCCTTTCACTTTCTGTTCTAAAACCCTTAAATCGCCTCTGTTTGTTTGTTTTTCCATTCATTTCTTCTTCTTCTCCAGTTTCCTTGTTTAAGAATCATGCCTGTTGCTCCACAGACTTCTACAATTGGTGAACACATCAATTTGAGAAGACCCAGAAGCCATTTCAGCCAACCCATTTCAGAATCAGATCCAAACCCATCAATCCCTTCGATTATTCAATCCACTCGCTGCAAATCCACCATTTCTTCTCTCCTTCTCTCTACCTTTTCCAATAATTCAACCACCGGAGCCAATGAATGCTTACCCTCTTCCATTGCCACGAACAGGAAGAAGAATAACTTTTCTTCTGCAACTTTCAGGGGACTCGGTTGCACCAACGCTGCTTCTCAGCAGGTATCCGTCCCGGCTGTAATTCGAACTTCAGCGGATTGGGAAAAGAAGAAAACGAGGAAAAAAAAGCAGAAGAACTCCAAGAACAAAACTCATCAAGGAATTGTTGATGCCTCTCATTTTCATCCTAATTCGAGTATCAATTCTGCTAGCTGCTTAGACGCTCAAGATGTTTGGTGTGGCCCTGGAATTGAATTCGCCGCAGATGCGGCTGCTTCTGTGGATTGCGTGGTTGCTAGACGGCATGCTTCTGGAAGGGGAAAAATCGATTTGGATAAGATTAATCAGAGGGAGGTACTCTGTTTTACTCTGTTTTTTACTCTGTTTTAATATATATTTGAACCTCTTTCTCCTCTGTCGATGTGTCGCACTGAGAAACAAAAACCCCCAGGTGGGTTCTTGTTGTTAAGCATTCGTGTCGATTTCGTAGCTAAAGAAGCATTTGGGTGTTTATTTTATTTGGGCTTTTCTCATTTTTTTTATAATCAAACTTTATCGTTTTTGTTTCTTTTCTTCAATAGGGTTCCTCGAAATCAGGCTGAACCTGTTCGGCTTCCATTCTTGTAACTTGTTTGATTCCATTATTCTTCGTAAATCTGAGTATTTAATGCAAATGGGTATGCGTTAGATTTGAAATTTTCCGAATGAAATCTTCATTTAGGGCTATAAAAACGAGAAATCACCTGTTCGTAGTTGATTATTGGTATCAAATTCTGTTCATTGCGTGTTAACTTCCTCTACTTCTACCATGACAGCGTTCTTCTTTAGGAGGAAGACGAACTGTGAATCCCGAGACCCTTTTATATTTGGATTCTGATTCTGATCTTCCAACTGCTCGAACATTTGAACTGTCTCGGAGTCGATATTATCGCCATGTTCGACATCCATCCCCTGATGGCCTTGCCGAGGTGAGCTATCATTTGTAAATATAAGCTTCAGTTGAAACAACCACTTTGATAGGGGATTCGTTGCTGTTCTAAAATTATAAGTTTCAGTTGAATTCTATGTTCGTCGTGTTCATCTTGTCATTCTATGTTCTTTTTATGTACCATAAAGGCATCTCTGTTTTACATTGATCATATGAAACTGATTAGCTCCCCTGATACGTTGTTAGCAGATTATGATGTTTCAGAGCGGGTTGCTGATGGGTGGAAGATTCGACATACACGACCAGTTTAGGGAATTGCGGCTTGATGTCGATAACATGTCGTACGAGGTTCGTAGCTTTCCTTCCTGTTCTTTCTTGCTACAATGTGATACTCACACCTCTTTGAACAGGAGCTGCTTGAGCTTGGTGAAAGGATTGGGCATGTCAGCACTGGGCTGAAAGAAGACGAGATGGGAAGGTGCATTAGAACAATGAAGCCCCTTGCTGTAAACGAGCTAACAACAACTCACTTGCTATCTCAAATGGATCGGAAGTGCAGCATCTGTCAGGTGAAGTAGAAGCGTTTGGTTTTGCTGGCTTTGATTACGCCAAATTGTTGACAGCCTACAATTGTTTTGTTGTATGAAGCAGGAGGAGTATGATCCAGAGGATGAAATGGGTAAGCTGGAATGTGGGCATGGGTATCACGTAGAGTGTATAAAGCAGTGGCTTGCGCAGAAGAATGCGTGCCCGGTGTGTAAGACAGCGGCGGTGGGCCGTGGTTGAATGGTTAGTTCATCAATGTGTAGCACTTATTCGACTCAACCTGCTTGCTTTTCTCCTCTCTATGTGGTGTATAGATTTCATTTGCCTTGTTATATGAGCTAAAGCATTCGTTCATTTGTGTGAAGCTGCTTCCCTTTCTGCTTATAATTGATATGATGGGCGCCATTTTGTTGTTCCTCAGTTGTCTAGAGATTTTATGTAATGATTTTGGATTGACTTGATTGCATATCTTTAAGACCTCAAGGTTCAATGCCTGCCTTTCTTGTGTTCTTCTGGGTACTCAAAAAAATGAAAGAAAGCTCTTATCCAACTTATGAGCATGTAATGTTGTAATCTGATTTCACTATAGCAGAGCTCTGTCTCTCGTGATTGAGTTGACGGTTGAAAGATTCCTATTGTCGAATTTTTTTACCCGGAAAGTTATATGCTATTTAAGCCGTAATGTTGTCTTCGGCTTGTTTTCACTTTTTCTTTCAACTTTGCCTTCAAACTCTTTTTCGAAAATCTCTCAGTTTGTGTATACGTTGCCTTGCAGTAGGCGATGCGATCCTAAATTGGCTCGACTCACTTCACTTCTAAGTGAGTGTTGTACAATTGTGATAGTTATGGGTTAGTATGTGCTCACAAGCAATGGGCCAATGGGGTAGCAGTAACATTACAGGTTTGTGCAGGATCTCTTGTAATAGGTCCATTGTCAAAGGTTGAAGGTTTTAGAGTGTAAGATCGTTAGAGTCTCAGGTGGTATCAGCTCAGTATCCTTCATTTTTCCTCTGCCAGTGCTAAGCCCCCAATCCTCCAACTTCAAGAATCCGAGGATTGATGCAAGACTGAGTTGCAAACTCATTGTTAGCAGATATTGTACACTTTGGCTTGTTAGGTATTGCTGTCAACCTCACGGTTTTAAAATACATCGATTAGGGAGAGGTTTCCACACTTTTATAAGGAATGTTTCGTCCCCTCCGACCGATGTGAGATTTTACAATTCACTCTACTAGGGGCTCAGTGAGTAGGGAGAAATTTTCACATCTTTATAAGGTATGCTTTGTACCCTTTTCCAACCAATATGAGATCTAACAATCCATCCCTTTGGCTACCAAGCATCCTCGCTAGAACATCGACCGGTGTACTCTACATCATTTGTAACTATTTAGACCCACCTCTAGTAGATATTGTTCTCTTTAGGTTTTTCCTTCTGGATTTTCCCTCAACGATTAAAATGCGTCTACTAGGAAGAAGTCCCACATCCTTCATTCTCCGCTCCAATAGAAATGGAATCTCACAATAAAAATTCTTGAAAAAGTCAACAGGTCCTGTAGCTCAGTTGGTTAGAGCGCTGGTCTTATGAGCCGGAGGTCGCGAGTTCAAGCCTCGCCAGGACCAGTTGAGTCTTTCAAGATTTTTTTTTTTTTTTTTTTTGTAATGACAAGCACAACTATTTATTTTAATTTGAAAGAAAAAATCTCTATTCTTTCTCCCTTTCTACCTTCCTCTCCTTGATTATAAATGATGATCCGATACAAGATGCATATCAACTCATTAGATTAAGCGTCAATTTTAACCATATTCATACCGTTGAACTTATAATTGTATAAAATGAGTTAGAGTTTAAAACTATTCAAATTGGACTCAAAACTCTCTCTCTCGCCCCCTCTCTTGGGGACTCGATGTGGCCTCGAAGCTATACGATGGGTGAAGGGTTATTGCATAGCGGTATAAACTATGCTTTACATAACATTTCAAGGTATAAAAGTATAAAACAATCTATATATCAGGTACCTCATAGCCCAACACTTGGATCATTTAAGTAAATACTTGCACACATTCAGGTAATGCCTGTGGATTAAATACAAATGAAAATTCTCTTTCAATCTCTTCCTAAACACAATTCTCAACGCAACCAATAGCTCAAAATATTGAGTATGCAGAGCCATTTCAATGGGAGGCTATAATGTGATCTTCAAGTAGAGGAGAGCGAATGCATGAGTTCGCGACGAAATTGTTTCCCCTGACCCGAATCGATTCAGAACACTCATTCAGAAAACCATGATGAATATGCAAAATCATAAGGACAGATAGAAAGAAAAAAAAATCAGTCAAGTGTATGAAAGTAACAGAGTACTCACCCTGACTGACCAACAGATTCAATGTCCTTGTAAAGTCCATAAGGATCATAGCTGGAAGTTCTTGTAAAGTCCAAGAAGTAAAGAACAAAAACTATCAGGTAGCAACTGAAAAACATTGATAGAGGTCCAAAGATCCAGAGGAAGAAAGGAATTGCGAAATAGAAAGCTCGCAATCCGATCGACCAAAATAAGCTTCCTCGATTCAAGATTGCAGAAAGATAGTCCTTTCTGCCTTCACCAGCAGGCAATGTGACTAAGAAGCTAGCATGAGCATAGTATCTAATAGATTGCACATTGCAAAGAAATGCAACGAGGAAACACAGCAAAATGTAACGGTACTTTCCAGTACTTGATGAGCTGCCCACAAAAACACTGATCAATGAGCCGACGGTGATCGTCGTCGTAGCCATAAGCGTCGAAGCCATGATGTTGTTTCGTATGGTTTGGACTCCAAGAACAGCATTCTTCTCGGGGTCCTGAACATGATCACTCGTAATGTAGTCAGCCATGGAGGTTTTCTCTCTCTCCTTCTCCACCTCCACTGAAATGGGAGGAGGGGACAAGATGACTTCTCAATTGATTCATTCACTATACCTTCTGAACTAATCAATTGTATATGATTTAGAAGGCACGAGGCAGAATAAGTTTCTCAACATGAGGGAGGGAACACGATTAGAAGTACATGTGGAATCTTAATGAGATGACTCGAATTCTTCATCTAGACACGAAGTGAACAGCTTAAATCTCTATCCATAGAGGAATGAATGTTTGCAATTCGACAGGTGTTGGTTAGTAGACGATTTTAGATGAAAATGAATGAAGAAAGATCATGACAAACCAAAATCCTCAAAGCTACACAATAATGCTATCAGAGATATCAACAAGACTAGGAAACGGTCCTTGAAATGAGATGAAATCAGATATTAGTTTTGTCTCACTTGCAGATGCTTTTTCCGAACAAGAAATCAGATATCAAACGACAGAAACAATCCTTGAAATGAGTTGACACACAAAATGGAAGAAAAGAGAGTCGGAGAGGAGAGACACTCACTGAAACAATGGTGGCGACCCATTGCCGGCGGGATTCAGCGTTGATTCCAATGACAGTTCTTTTAGGACTCCGGTAAATGGTGATTATCAGCCAAAGATGGTATCCCACCAGCACCGTAAAACCAAGCGGAACCATCACATATTCAAGATGTTTCATTTCCATCCCACTTCAGCTCAGCTCCTGCAAAGTACTAAGTCTCTATCTCTCTCTCTCTCTCACAACTTTTTGCTTCCCCTCAAGTGGCTTGCAAGCACGTCCTTTTATATCATTGTCATACAATTGAGAATGTGGGTTGAATAAAAGAAACAATTTTATAAGATTATTCGTCACATCAGAGCAAGAGAAACACATTAAAATATAGTTGAAGTAACAATCGAACATGAAACACGTGATGCAAGTCGCGCAACGTGCACCACACCTAAGTGCTCCATCTAAAAGTAGACACATTTTTTTCGACACAAAATATGAGAATTTAAATCTTCGATAATAAAAAAGCTATCATCTGCATTAATACGGTAGAAAAAGGAGGCATAAACCGACAGGTACATTTGTAGAATTGTTGGCTACGTAGAGGCCTTCAAGCCGATTATGCATACTACATACAAACTGCTTTTTTTCTTTTTTATATCATTAAGGGTCATGAGTTACATGAAGAGAAAATCGACTGGCAAGACATAGCCTGGTACATAATAGATTAGAAGAATGCTCTCACAAGCTGCTTTTGGAAGAACCCTTGTTCACGAGCTTTTACCAGCCTTGCCCAAGGAAGTGAAGCTCAACCTGCAATTTGGAGGAAGAAAAACTAGATTGAATAGGCCATATTGACAATGACAAGGTGTGGTCATTACCCAATAAAGAAAGGAAAAAAAAACGAAAGTAAGAAGAAGACTAGAGATGTTTAAGACTGCAACCCATGCCAGAGAGGAGGGTGGGGAAAAGAACACAAATATTTTAATCAAATGTCAACCGTTCTTTATTCCGTGTAGAATTAAGAAAATTGGAAAGCACCTGATGATTGGCTTTCGCTCAGCCACGGGTGCACGAGTGGTCCCAGTTGACGATAGCGCCACTACTTCAGCAGGCTTAACATAAGAAATTAAATAAGAAATTAAAGGCTGTGAGATCATAAGAAAAGTAACATGATAGAACCCCCTCAGGCATTTTACAACTATATGCTACCAAGGCAGAAGTAATATAAAGTTTTGGTCAAAGTATATACAACCTCAAGCTCCTCTAAGCCCCCATTGGAATATGATCTTGAGGTCAGGCGTGCTTCATTGCAAGATGTCATAGGAACTACTACGGAAGATGTCTTTGCAACCGAAGATGTCATGGGGCTACGTTGCCGAGTGGCCCCAAAATCTATAGCTTGTTTTGTATAATCAATATCATCGAGCTCTTCAGTCTCACAAGGAAACTCTTGGTGAGAGTCGTATGAGCCAGACAGAATCTTTTGAATTGCCAGCTTCTCTGCTTCTTTACAGCTTGGTGTATCAGCAGCTGCAGTTTGGTCTCCATTATTCTGAGAGGAAACATCTGCCAGATTTTCTATGTTATTTGCACTAGTGGGAATAGAATTCACATCCTTTATGGAACATGAGCTAGTGGTGCTGATTTGGCTGACTTCGTGAACTTCCACAGGCTGGGAATGAGCAGCAGCCAAGGACTCTCCATTTCTCAAGTTAGTATTTGCATTATAATCAATACGCCTTCTTTTCCTTCTATCATCTACTCCATCTAAACTTTCTGTAGCTTCAAATGGCCTGTCTACTTGAGTGCTATCAGAAGCTTTTAGTTCCAAACTACGCCTACTATCCCAAGTCATTTTTGATGCACGCGAAGGTCGAACTCCACCCGGAAAAACGAAATTTGGTATATTCCTCCTTTTCACATGTGTTACATAAATCTCCATCCCACGCTTTCGCATTGTATACATGTTGACAGAACGTTTAAATTCATCGACTGTCAACCTCATATCGAACTGTTCACCCTCACTTGCAGGAACTCCTTGTTTTCGCTGCAAACCCATGAAATAACAATGGTGGAAAGGTCTGGATTTGTCTGAAAAATCTCCTGGATGTGGATGGCACTGAAGCATGTTATACGTATGTCTCTCAATCTTGCATCAACACACAACCCAAGTCAATCTCTACTGATAATAAAGAAAGGAGTTCGAAATTTGATAAATGCTAGGAAGGCCGAAAGTAAACAGCTATGAAATTACAATTTCACCTTTAATGTCAGTTGGCGAAGACGAGATTCAACCCAACCTTTCCAGTTTCTTAGATCATCATCATTTTCTGCAGTAATGTCAGTTTGTAAATAGTTTTTGTACGCCTCGAAGAAGGGGTAGGGCTCGAAAAGTGTATCCCAATCGGCCTTATTTTCTTCCATAACCTGATGACATTTAACAACCATCAAACTAAAATTAGAACAATGTTTCACCAACAATGTAACATGGCTAAATGAATATAGAATAAAAACATGAATCCAATTAAACTCATTATGCAAATTCCTAACTGGGGACAAAAGATGTCATTGCAGAAATGCACCTCACAGATATCATGTCCCCTCTGAAATTCTTCAGTCATAATACGCAGAGTGCTTGATGAAACATTGTAGCTAGAATTCATGCAGGGATAAGCAGGAGTAATGATAGGCATTAAATGGAATCTATCCTTCGGATTTCTCCTTGGATCCCAGACTGGAAGTCCAAGAGATCCTTCTTCATTAGCACAGAGCATGACTGGATTTGGCCAGCGCCACTGGGTGAAGACCCTGAAAAACCGAGACACGAGCATATTTGGCAATGCATTGGGATATAGTTGGCATATGCGAGCAACAAGCAACGCCCAGTTTATTCCGCCAAGAAACCCAGAAACCTGGTCAAGGTATAAATTAAAAGTCAGGTGATTGTAAGAAATCTTTGCATAAACTTGGAAGCAATCCACTTTATTAGACATCTGTACCATACATTGGAATAAACGCCTCGGCGTTTTGCCCAAAACCTCATGCATCTCAATGTTGTTCGAAAACTCTGCACTTCATAAATCAACCAATCTTTTAGAATGAATAAAGTTTAGTGAGAAAAAGAGAGAGAAACATCAAGGCAAGTTCTGATCCTCAACCTGAATATTTGGAACTAATCGCAGAACTCGATCAGTAACTCGACAACCATTTAAACTACGAACTGTCTGTTCATCCGCATTCTGTAGTATCGAGTCCTGGGATATATCCAAGTCCTGTTCCAGAATAAACAATTTGAAAACAGATTACATCAACATCTATCTGTAATAGAAACTTTACAAAGATTATAAGCCATTATTGCACTTCAAGGAGGCAGCTGGGGAAGATGGAATAAGAATCCAGAGTGAATTATATAGAATGGAAAAGAATCCGAAAAATCCATTTTCTAGAAGTCAAATTGCAAATCATCAACAAAAATTTACTAAATCTATATAGTACGGCATGGCATCAGTACATCATAATCATGAAATACTAGAGAGTGGGAGACTTACTTCAGGAATAACCCAAAGTGACAATTTCGCATAGAGAAGATCAATAGAAATCCCGGCAAACTTAAATTTCATCACAGGGACATGAGCATCAGGCACAGGGTGCAACTCAGATACTTCTGGCATCTCTGACAGTATTTTATGTAGCTCACTGAAAAAGTCTTCCTACAGCCATGAAACAAAAGCATTATTGAGTCTACAAAGCTAAAATACCAGAGTATATGCAAACTTAGTTCACCACAAATATTCATGAAAATGAAAGCTAGACGCACTTCACGTGTTGCATGTCTAGGTCCCACACACAGCGTATCAATATCTGCTCCAGGGCCATGCACCTACAAATATAATAAATAGATACCTCATAAGGAGAAAAAAAAAAATTACAACAGAATTAGAGATTCAAGCTCTATGCTAATCATTTGCAAATAGAAAGAAATAGCGGCAACATACATAATAAGGAAGGATCTAGTGTTTCTACTTTTTTGTTTTGTTTTCTTTTTTTCAATGCCACTTGGAAAAATATTTTGTAATGTCCCGGGATTGAGGCTTAGCTTTAATACATTAGACTAAAACATACTTGAGGAAAAGCTTTAATGTAAAGGTTTAATTTGTAAGCTTCCACAATAACTCAGAAGAGAATACAAATTCAAGAAAAGGTTCCATAGTTCTCTTCCCACACAATGGGCTGCCATTTCAAAGAGAAGACAAATTTAACTTTCGTAATAATCATGATGCATACAGCCCAAACCCATAAAATTCACCTGAACCAGCACACTTACATCATGCCCACCGGAATTTTAACACACAAGAAACATTATAAAAAAATTGCATTACATGCTTGCACCAACAGTCTGTTCAAAAAGACATGGTGACGTCAAACACATCATCACGATGAACCCTGTAAACTATATTTTCCATGAATATCCACACCTCTCTCAGATGATAGAGCAAATAACGACAGGTCATAATGAAACTACTCACAACGACCTTCATAAAAGATGCATCTGAAAAATATACCTTCGAGCATGGCATCTGAAAATGATGTCTATATTCAATCTAACCAAGAGATAGCCAAAGGGTCCAACACTTTTTCATTTTTTGATATTGGTGAGTGTTCAGATAAGCATGAGTGCACATAGACTATTCTGACAAGACAACCACTCGATCTATTACATTTAGTTGTCAAGGTAACTTGTAGGGTTTTAAATCCTAAGTAGGTGACTACAATGATTTGATCTTATTTCCTCTAAGCCACTTACTATTTGCTGGACCCTTACTAACTACTAGGCCAATCCATGATGGTTAAACATGCCAGCACATTAATCTAAGTAAAATGTTAATTATATTAGCTTGAGACTACCTTTTATACACAATAGATTTGATCATCATCAGATGCACACAGCATGTACCAAAAAAACATACAAATCAAGGAAAATTGGATGAAATGAACTGTGAAAGGATGATAATCAACATCATTGTGTCATAAGAGTATGAACTTGAATAATTCCACATAAGAATCAAATTTCAGCCTAGCTACCATACTAGCACATAGCACATCATATGTTATCATCTTAAAGAAAAAACTAACAGGAAAGCATTTATATCTTGAAGAAAAAAAAAAATGTTAGCACATAGCACATCAAATTCTCAAAGAATAAAGCTCTCGAAGAGTAAAACAGTTCTGTACCC